TTATACTTTGATTATCTTACTTTGATTATCTTTCTTGACCTCGTTGGAATTCAAATCGAATCACTCCAGACTTCACTAAGTTCATATTATCAAAACACTCTCTTGAGTATATATTTGTTGAAAGTAGAACTCAAATGATCTTCCATCTGACTATGAACTTATCTTATCCAAAATACATCAAAATACTTTAAGATTTGTGCCTGTTTATAAGGATTATATAAGGTATATTAGTCTAGATAACTTAAGGACACGAACAACAGAAATACATAGAAAGACTTAAAATGTTAGACAATTTAAAGTACTCTTAAAGCTTGTATATCCTAACAAATACAGCACAAATCGACCTAATCAAGATTGAGTTGATGAGATCTAAGCATGAAGACAGTTATGGAGCAAACAATAAGATGGATGACTTGGTAATCACCATAATAGCCGACAACAAAGTCGATCCTTGATCTCTAATCCTAATAGGTTTTTAATTATCAATTATGTGATTCATTATTTTCTATCAAGGAAAGTAGTAAATTGAAAAATCTTGTGGTGGTGTCCACTATAAAGACATGAAGTATCGATACTTCTAAGAATATGCATTAGAAGGTGAAATATTAGATGAGTGACAAACTAGAAACGAATCAGTTATATCCTTATTTTTTGAATTCTACTTACATTTATGATTGTTTTTCTTTGTCATTGTGTTTGTTAACTCACATCACCCACTCTTCATAAACATTTTAAAATCTCTTTTGGTTTATGCATTCATAATCATTTATAAATTTTAAAGGTGTAAAGTATAAAAATCCAAAAGAACAATTATTCATCCCAACTATTGCATGTTTACCTTCAACATGTTTGACTGTTCACCTATTTTGTCTTTATTATAAGCCAAGTTATAATAGCAAAAATAAGTAATAATTAGACAATGCATTGAAGTTTTTGTTTGTAGTTTGGTAATACACAACATATCGTTGATTAAGGTTGACGATCTTTTTGGGGACAGGGGGCAATAACAGTAGCTGTTTGAAAAAAATAGTATGAAGTTGTAAAAAGATATTTTGTTCAAAGTGTGGTGCGGCATCGCACCGCTGCCGCTGTTCCAAATACAAATTTAATCACATAATTATCTAATCGTTTGACAACAACGATAATTTAATTTAATTGATATTAGATTGTGTGGCATTTTTTTCATTTTTAAATAAAAATGTGTGAATAAACCATGTATGAATAATCTAATAAAAAGTTAATCATAATAAAACCTAAGAGAAGTATATTTATGTTAATATAAATATAATGTATAAACATAATTTTTTTTCTTTTTTTCTACTATATATATA